GGGGGTGGGGAGGGGGCATCAGTCTCTTAGGGTACCCCCCCACACACACTACAGGATACTCTAAGCTTTGAGGTTAGCCCAGGAAAAATGGTTTAACTTTTTAAAGATAACTAAAAACCGGAATGACAATAATAAGACTCCATTCTCAGCTTAATGGCATCTGTTTCCCCCTGTTTTTCTGGAAAATTATGTGAAATCTTGCACAAGAGTGACATTTTTTTTATGACTGAAACCAGTGCTAAAAGGCTCATGTTAATTCAGTATTACCTCTCTTTTGAAGCTGAATATCTAAGAAACCTCTTCAATACTTTGCAGTAAATAGTGTACTTACAGGAACTTTAACCTCTCTACTCTTTTCCCCTGGGTCTCTCTGTTTTAGTTCTTAATCATTATGACTGAAGTAGAGCACACAATTTTTATTTTAATGTCACTTCATATTTAGTTGCTGATCAATCAGCACTTCTTAAGTGGCACCTTAATTATTTCGTATTTTAAAACTTTTCTCATTTGGAACCTGTCCAACTTGAAAAGAGTAAGAGGGTCTATCTTTTGATCATACACCTGTGTTAACTTTAATTAATATAATTTTCCTTGAAATTACTAGCACAAGCATGCATAGTATGCTGCCCTATCTAAATTTAAAATGCCTAGTATTTAGATCAGCTTTACGTGACTTTGAAGTAAAGGTAAACTTTGTAGACACCTGAATTACATGATATACTACTCTAGATCCTTTTAGAATTTAACATAGACACAATGATAGTGTTTTCCTTGAATCAAAATACTTCATGAATGTCTTGTATTTTTGAATTTTTTGTGAAAAATTTTTTAAAGGGTGGAAAGGAGAAGGGGAAAAGGAGAAAAACATTGCAGAGGGGTGAACATAGGGAAGGAAGGGAGAAGAAAAACTGAAAACTGATATAATTGAAAAATGTTGATAAAAACTGTTCTTTTTCAAAACTATCAGAGTGAAATGACTCTTCTGGTTTTTTCAGAAATATTTTCCTTCTTTCAATCAGGTGTACTTCTGTATAGTTTTTTCCCTATAGTTAATTGTGAGTCAGTTGATACTCACAATAGTAGTTCAATTCAAGTTTGTCATGAGCAGATGATGTTTAAGCCTTTGCTCCCTTCTGCTGCTACCCCTTAGTTTTGATACTCACTACCACTATTTTCCTGGTTTGGGAAAATCTCTTGAGCAAAATGTAAAGGTTGTCCTGGATTATTGCTGACTGCATGATGTTTTGTGATGTGCTCCAATGAGGTAAAAAATGAGATTAGTTCTAACTTGAGATCTGAAACCCAAGACCACATAGGCAGGAGGTTGCAGTGCATTGTGTTACACCATGTTTTCCTGTCTCCTGCTGCTTCACCCAAGTATGAGTCTCTTGATACCAGGAAAAAAAGGTTAATGTATAGGAGTCTTTCAAATGTTTTTAACAATCTCTCCATCTCTTTGAGCAGCCAGGGCTTGTGATTAGTCACCATGCCGACCATACACTGAGTAGTTTCTGTCAGTGGCAGTCTGGGCTGGTGGGGAAAGATGGAAGTCGCCATGACCATGCTGTTCTACTGACTGGCCTCGATATATGTTCTTGGAAGAATGAGCCATGTGACACATTAGGTGAGTCATTGCTGTCCAGTCATCAACAATCACAGGGGTGTCAGCCCTGACCCATTTTATAACTTGAAGTCATGGACAAGTACTTAAATCTGTATTTTTATTCATGCATTACATCTTGAACCTGGCTTGATAGCTCAGCTGAGAACTTGGAACACATCCTTGTAGAAGCTGTTGAGGTTGATATAATCATGTTTGAACACTATTTTAGCTGTGTTGAAATTCACAAGAAAAAGATTTTTGGAGGGAAGAGGTAGCACAACAGAGTGTGTATTTGTTATGCTCTAAAATTTTTCAGGTGCTTGTAAGTTTTACCAGTGCCTTTATATTACCGCCTTAGAAGTAAATCTTGAGTACTTATTTCTTAGCCTGTTTCCAGCCTTGGCAAAAAGATTCAGGTGCCACTGTGATGAGGGAAGCAGTGGGGCATTTTTTTTTTTTTTACAATTGTGTTGTAATGAAATGTTCTAGTTTTATGAAAATATATAATCTTGGCCACATTCATGTATGCATCTCTGAAGCCCAGGATATACAAGATCCTATACTTTCACTGGCAGGTCTTTAACACCATATTCATGAAAAACAAAGACTTATATATTTATTTCCTGGAAATCTGTTAGAGAACATGTTATTGTGCCCTTACAGAACAACCAATCCAGCAATGAGGGTGAAATGCAATTGGTTGCTAGTACAGGTTGTTGAAGATAAACTGTCCCAGTGGGTATTGGGACACATGGGTCTACAATACAGAGTTTTGATGCCATAGATCATTGCTTGGGTGGGAAAATATTTTATCCTTGATTGACATATCTATACAAGCAAAACCCCCTCCCAGATAGATACAGCTTATACTGGCAAGAGTCTTTTTGCCCGTATAGCTTATGTTGTTCATAGAAAAACAGAATGCACATTCTACCTTGTGGGGGGGGGAGTGCATGTCTTAGACTGGGTTCCTCCATTTTTAAACCAGTCTGTGTGTGCAGAGCTTCTGTTCTGTTACGTGCATAGACCAGTTTTGTGTTCTGAACTTCTGTCCTGTTACCGGTATAGACTGTAATGTCTTGTGGGGCTCCATTCCACCCCTCTCCCCCCTCCAGCATAGGCTGGGCAAACACCAACCCAAGTTCCCTCTCTTCCCTTCCCTTTTCCTCCCTCCCATCCTGCAGACAGTACCAGAGGCTGGTGGGGAGGGGAAGATGTGTGCAGAGCTAGGGGATGAGGCTACAGACATGCAGCCTCTCTTGCTGGATTGGCTCCAAATTGGAGCTCAATTTCCACACCCTCAGGACCCAACAGTGAACATCTGTTGGGCTGGGAAAGTTGGTCTAACTCACAGTGCTTTCTGTGAAACACCATGAGTTATACTGGGGAGCTGTATTTCTGTCTGCACCATTCTAGAGGAGCCATTTACCAAAGTGACTTTTAAAGCTATAATGGTAGCAAACCAAAATCTTGTGATCTAAATATGTAATAATATACATTTTATTCTTCTGTTCAATAGGATTTGCACCAATTAGTGGAATGTGTAGTAAATATCGCAGCTGCACTGTTAATGAAGACACTGGGCTTGGACTAGCTTTTACTATTGCTCATGAATCTGGCCATAAGTAAGTGTGAATGCATTACAAGAAGGTTCTGTGCATTTATTTTACTGAGTTCAGAGACATTTTTATTTGTGTGTCAGCAATTGAATTAGTTAAATAAAAGTTTTTAAGGCTCAAGAGCTGTGAGGTTAGGTTTGGATTGGTAACTTATTACAAGTAGTCTGGCCCCACTCAATCAAAGTACTAAACCATGGTTCTCATTGTACACTGCAGTTCATTCAGAATTGCTAAAGCCAGCCTTTGGCAACTCCAGTAAAAGTGGCCTGCTCAAAGCAACACAGTTTTTAGTACCTTGTATAGCTTCATCATCTCATGTCTGCCAGCTTTGGGGCATGTACCTGGTTTCTTGCTTGATGTCCCACAAACTGTCACAGCTCCAAGGGCCGTTGATGTTGATTTGTGTTTAACCATAATTTTAAATGATTGTTATTGCTATCTGTGGACACAGTTCTGAAGTTCTTAGGCAGTGGATGAAAAATGTGGCCTAAGTCTGTTGCTATCAGCACACAAAACCCTATGGCAGAAGCAGTAATAGAATTAGAATCCACTTCTCGAGGGAAACATTCTATTTGTGTAGCTTTGCTAACAGGTTAGACACTGGATTTGTATAGAATGGCTTGGATAGGGATAATCCTGCCTCAGGCAGGGGGTTGGATGACCTGTTGAGGTCCCTTCCAGCCCTACTTCTTTATGATTCAACCATGAGACCAACCTTCCTCTTTCTGTACTATCTTGCTTCATGTGCTCTTCATGTTCTACCTCCTGCAAAAAACACAAGGGGCCCTCTTTCACTGCATGACCCTCCATTCATTCCTGCTGCAGAGCCATTCTGTGCACTGCATAGGATAGTGATCTTGTGGAAAAAATAGTAAATGAGTGTCTCGTTACACACATGAATGTGCAGGTACTCAGATCTTATATGGTTCATTTTATGGTGAGTGTGTCTCATCTCTTGCAGCTTTGGTATGATCCATGATGGAGAAGGAAACATGTGCAAAAAGTCTGAAGGTAATATCATGTCACCCACCTTAGCAGGACACAATGGGGTATTCTCGTGGTCAGCTTGCAGTCGTCAGTATCTGTACAAATTTTTAAGGTACGTGCCCTCAGCGTATCTTATACTTCACCATTGAATGGTATACTGGAACAACTGGCAGCCTCATTGTCTTGGCTAAAGCTTGAAATGTAGTTTTCCTAATACCTCACAAAAGGATGAAGCACGTAGGTCAAACTGACATTTAACTACTCACCTAAGCGGTGAGAATTGTTTTGAGGCTCAGCAGTCTATAGAAACCAGTGGAACTTACTGTTTTTCAGGAGGTAGGCTCTCTCTCTGAGCTCTTTGGACTTGAGGAGTAGGACACACTGGGCATGCCTACACATGCACTTTAATGCACAGTAAAATAGTCTACTGCACATTAAAGCATCATGTAAAAAAACATGACATTAGGCTAATGCACAGTAAAATAGTTTACTGTGCATTAAGTATCACTAAAAAAGTGTGCAAATGTGCTACTGTGCATTAGTGTAGCCTAATGCACATACATTTAGTACCTCACCTAGGAGGTACTAAATTTATTGCACATTAGAAAAAGCAAATTAATGCACATGTAGATGCACCCCCTGTGCGCTGTCTTTTGGGATTATACACCAAACTCTTTTCTTCCTTGTCGACCATCCCTAAAGACCAGTGTGAGGCAATTCTCATTCCCAAGAGCAATTTTCCTTTAGGTCCTTAAGTGCAGAGTGTAAAAATGTCCTTAATCCTTGCATAGAAGATTTGTCTCTTGTGCTCCACTGAGTAGCCAAACCTTAAGGACTGTCTGCTCTGTGGAAGGTTATGTCCTTAGCCCAACCTGAAGCTAAAGTCATGTGTGCATGGCAGACTCCCCATGCCAAGCAGCAACCCCTACAAACCTATACTGCTTTGGTTCAGAAGGCAGTGCAGTATTTGCATTTGGGCCATGCTGAGTGCAAGGTAATGAGCTTGGAGAGAGGCTAATTGGTGCTGTCACTCAGCAGTGCTAATTAACCTTCCCCTAGTACCATACAAGCACAACCATACTTTTCCTGTTTCAGGATGCAGCTCACATGGTGCAGTGTAGTATACTTGAAGGTGCTGCTGCTTGGCACAGCAACTTTGTTCTAAGTGACCTGGAAACTCCTGGCTTGCTAAGGCTGATTTTTGTAGTTGGACTGATTTCAGGTTTGAAGGAAATGTATTCAAGCTACTCACAACTTGGAGCTGACCATGGTAGAAGCAAGCAGCTGAACAGGGAAAAGTTAGGATAGATTTGTTACCAAAATTATTAAGGGCTAAATCCTCTTTCAGCTTTACATGCCTGAATAGCAATGGAGTAGCCATGTGATGGTAATTTCCGGCTCTTGTGTAGTTTGGATTTAATTAGTATCAGTGACAGACTGGGATTTTGTGTGCATTGCTACTTGTGAGTGCATGTAGGAGAAGGAGAAGTAAATGACTAGCTTCAAAAGAAGGGCTAGAGAGAGGTCTGGGCAATGTTTGTTGGTTATAGCACTTTTCTGGGAAGCAGAAGATGCAGGTTCAAACTCACTTTGAGTGAGGGGGACCTGAAACTCAGTCTCTTGCTCCCAGGGAAGTGCCCTAACTACTAGGCTTTGGGGTAATACCTGGGGGGTTCTCTGCCTCCACCCTCATGCCTAGGATCTTCTGTTCCCTGAGGGCAGCTATTCAGAGTTCAGTATACAGGGCATGCTTTGAAGGGATCCATAGAACAAGCATAGCTACACTGATGCCCAAACTGGGTGTGTATGTCAGAAGGGCATTTACATAGCTACATACATTTCACTTAGGTGTATAGAGATGACATAGGATCGATCCCCAAGTGAGTGATCCAGTAAGACTATCATTGTTTTTCCCTAGAATCTCTAGTTAGTGGGTTAGAAACCCAGTGCATATCATTGTTTATAGAAGTAAAGCAAGTAGTTATAAAGTCTTGTAGTCTTTTGATATATTGAACTAATACATTCTATATTACTCTGGTATGATGACCATAAATAAAAGTTTATAGCATAGATCATTTATGTGATCCTATGTGAATTTCAGATACCATTAGAAATTCAAATGTCTGAGATGAAGATTTTTTCATGCAGATTTGTCATGCATTTTGTAAGGAGTGATTTTTGTTTTTGGGGAAAAGAGATTGTCAAGAGACTCATAGCTTAAAACCTGTAGAATGCAAGATTAGAAGGAACAGCTGTGATGGGCACTGGCAGTTTTGCACTTTTCAATTCTGCTTCTCTAGATATTTTATACACTGTTGGACCTTAAGGAGCTTTTGAAAAAATGTTGATTGACTCAGTTATTTATGCTTAAATGAATGGCTAGCTAAAAGCTTGTTGTTGTTCTCCTAGGATTCCAGGTACAAGGACAAATTTGGCTTTCACCCTTGTTAATAGTTACTTTACTACTACAAAAGTTTGCCACCCAAACTGTAAATACTAGAATACTTAACATAATGTTTGGGACCATTTGTAGAGAGACTGGTGTTTTTTAAAATGTGCATTGTCCTGTTCTATATTCTAAGCCAGGGGTGGGCAAAATGCAGCCTGGGGGCCAGATGTGGCCCGCCAGGCCATTCTATCCAGCCCGCGGGGCCCCTAAAAAATTTAGAAAATTAATATTTATCTGCCCTGGGCTGCCTGTCATGTGCCCCTTGATGGCTTGCCAAAACTCAGTAAGCGGCCCGCTGCCCAAAATAATTGCTCGCCCCTGTTCTAAGTCACCCAGGCAAGAATAAAGCTTTAAAGGTACAGCTGTACAGGCATAGTCATTATGTATTCTGTATTGTGTTCCTCTAAACCTTAGCTTTATACTCTATAGTCAAGGTATTAGTACATTTGCTCTAGGCAGGAAGTGTACCATGGGGGTGGTGGAGATACCCGTTAAGTTGGCTAGAAGAAGACAATGGCTGATTCTTTAACATAAATATTCCTTCCACTTTTCATGAAGAAGCAGGGAGCATTTGTGACTGTATAATTGTTTCATTCTCACTTGAATGAGAGAAGACCTTCATAATGTGGCTGGTGCCGACAGATGATGTATGGTGTTTTCTGTGCCAGAATGTGAGTTGCTTGGCAGGGAGTTTGTGTTAAAAAACTGTATGGCTCTTTAGCACTAACAACTGTAAGTGTTCATTTGCTCAGATTAGATTTTTAGGAAACTATTTTTAGCAAACTTGTAGTGGCTGATTCAAATAGGGGATAGAAAGCGATAAGATCACCTTCAGAGTCCACCTGCTTAATTATTAAATATCTCCAACACAAATCAGGTACAGGGAAATCTTTGTTTTTCATATTGTTTGTTTATGCAACTTTGGTAAACTATTTGCTGTCATAAAATCAGCACTCTCTCATATTTACTAAGGTGTCCTGATTACAGCAGTATTAGACAGCTGTTATCTGCATTTATCTGAATGCTGTGGATCTTGTTATGCTACACCCAGCCCTGCTTTGATAGGTGAGGCACAACTAACTCAGCAGTTAGAAAATAAGATATAGGTAGCACTTTTCTAAAAGAATACAGTGTGAGGATTTCAGGAAAACTCAGTGCATCCTGAAGGCTTTGAAAACTTTATTTATAATGTCAGCTTGAAACATGTAGGGGTAATCCCACCCGAGTATCTAACCTGAGCATTATGGAGTTTCATAGGGAATTCCATAAGAAAGATGCTGCCAACCTTCACCATCTTCTTGCTAGATTTTTCAAATGAGCACCATGCTTCCTTTTATGCCTTGGTGGAGCTGCCCAGAAACATCTGTAAAGCTGCCTTGTTACTCTCCTCCCAAACTTGTATTAAAATTCTCCTTTGCTGTGAGACCTTCCAAAAATCTTGACAACACCTGGGCTGCCAGTATGTTTTGACCCTTTCCTGTCACGCTAATGTCTCATGGTGGCCTTGTACTTTTCTGTTTGTCTGAATCCATCTGTTTCGTTTTTCCCCCCGATGGTTTCATTCTAAGATCTTTGGAACAGACCCATCTTTTTTGTTGTGTTTGTGTCCAGCACATTGCACCACAGGGCCCTCCTTCCTACACATGACTCCTTACAGTACTCCGGTCTCTTTTCATATTCTCTTGAATTTCATTATTTTTAAATAACACACCTCTTTGGAAAATGCACTCTGCAGGCACTAGTTTGCCAGCTGTTGTTGCTGTGGAAGAGTTAAAAGTTGCAAGTAACTTTTCTCCTGGAGGAAATTGTTAGAGTAACTTGAGAGGTAAAAACCCACGTATTTCCCCATGAAGTGAAAAGTTTTAATACAGTTTTGCTCCTATAAGAAATGCATTCTTCTAAATCTTCTACATTGCGAGGCTGGCATTTTGTTCGTAATAATACTGTCCTACAATTATCTGTAAGCATGTTAACAACTTTCAAACAGAACTTCTTGCTGCAGATTCTAAACAAACAGGCCCTTTCCACAGAGCAAAACTTTGATTGGTTCAAAATAGTTGGTTACACTCCAAATTCTACATAGTCAGTAACTCCCAATGAGAGCTGCATGCAAGTAGCTAAGGGAAAAGTCTGGATTTATTAACATGGCAAGTGAACCTTACAGTTACCTTGATGGAAGGACAGGTCCATTTTACTTCCCAACTGTCTTGGGCTCCAGAATTGGTTCAGATGCTTCAAAAAGACTCCTATAATTAGACAGGTACTATATGATACTAAATTTAGGAGGCTGGCAGACTCCTCAACAGGATTAACATATCATTTCCTTTTGCACTATATTAATAGTAAAAAATGTCTTCTCAATTGGTCTTACTGGTGCCTATGGTCCTTGATTTAGGAAGTATGGCTACTTAATTTTAGAAGCAGTAAGATATGGTCTTACATTCGCAGGAAATGTTTTACTTACTTTTCAGCTACTTAAAATGTGTGAATTTAGATACAGATTAAGTTACTTGCAGTAGAGCAGTTGATGGAACCAAAAAGTTAAATGCAAAATATATCCCTTTGCCAAGCACAATCTAGTCTTCTGCACACTCTCAACCAGTAGTGTTTGACAACAGTGGTTTTCCTGAGACAGAGGCTGTCAAATGTTAATTCATGTACTG